GGGTTCTGGAGAAGCATAGGAAAATAATAAATATTTGACTGGTTAAGTGGTCAGGAGATTCTCATTTCAAGGTTAGATTCCTTCATAGTATGTCATAAGGAAGTTACTTTGTTCTTACTCACTTCAGTCTATGTGGAAAGCTATTTCTCTCACTGGGCAGTGGGCAATCACCAGTCCTATTCCAAAAGAGGCAGTATAACAGGGGTTGCAAACAATGCCTTTACAATCAGGAAGGCATGGGTTTGAACCTCAGCTCAGCCAGTTGCATGCTATGTGACCTTGAGCAAGTTATTTATGCTTCTCTGAGCCTTAGTTGCCTTGTTTGAAAAATGAAGAACATTCCTTACCTCGTGGGGTTGTTGTGGGAATTAAAGAAGATAACATATATCAAATGCTTAACATATAGCACACAATAAGACCTCAATAAATTGTAGCTTAAAAATACATTGCCTTTGAGACCAACGTGTACGTCACACATCCAATATAACTGCATTAAAAGCAGCAAAACACATTGAAAAACAATGAACAAAAATAGTGTAGGCCCTCATGCAATTTACAAATGCCAACGAAGTAAAAGAAGACCCATAATTGCCTTCCTCATTTTCCACAGAGGAAGATTGGGACGGACAAAGTTCTGAGGCCTTTATCAAATCTGTGAATAGAGCAAAGTTAAAATAGAGCAAAGTAAAGTCAGCCACTGCTGACCCTAAGATTAGAATCACAGAATCTTAGAATGTTAATGCCAAAAGAAAGCTCCAATCCTCTCTTTTTACAGATAAACTCAAGGCCAGAATGTTAAGTGCTCTGCCCAAAATTACCCAGCAGATTCCATTATTACTTAAATGTATCTTATTGCTAGCCCCTGCAGCCTCCCCTTCTTCCCTCTAATCAACCTCTCTCTACTCTGTTAATCACAATAATACTTGTGAAGCAGTTTAAGGATTCCCTGTATCCCAATGAGAATGAAAGTTCTTTAAGGACGAAGGACTAGCTTTTGTCTCAATGCCTACAAAAGGGCTCTCTGTATGCTCACAAATGCCTATTGATGAACAGATTGACTAATCAACATCGTTCTCTGCCCATCCTATAGGAATTAGTAAGTGTTACATGAACACATACATAGCAGATCCTACTATTAAGAACATAATCTTTCCCTCCACTGCAGCATCAGGCAGAGAGAACTGTCCATCTAACCAACCAAACAGTTGCTAGGGAACCCTGGAACGTGCCAAGAGAAAGGGGCCACAGCATTGCTGTTCTCTATCATGATGGCTGTTGTCTTTACCCCCTACCCATCCCACCTCCAGCCCCCTTATTTGCCTCTAGGGTCAACCAAACCTATTCTAGGTCTTTGATTCTAACAGGTGAGAAGAGACATAATTGAAGAGCACTAAGTAGAGATGCAAAAGCAGAAAGAGAATCTTAGAGTGGTCCAGCCCTCGGGATTTATAAATAGACTTAAGAAAGTCCTGACCAGTGCTGGGAGACCCCAAACAGCCAAGGATGCAAGCTGGAGGGAGGATAACAAGATTACAAAAGGCAGAGACCCTGTGGAACGCCAGTAGGGGCACTGAATCTTAGACCGCATCAGTCCTCTTTCAGAAGTTACATTCCTTCAGTATACTATAGTTCTTTTAGTTATCTAAACTTAAAGACTTGGAGTCTCTCCTGACGTTCCCACATTCCCTGCTTCATATCTAATCTCTCCCAAAACCTCATCCTTTCTTTACTGCTATTATCCATCTACCTGCCAATAGTTTTGTACTGCTGCACCCAGGTCAAAGCCCTTGTTACTTCTCACCTGGGTCATACAATAGACTCCTAACGGTCTCCCTGCTCAGATACTCCTCTTTCCAATTCATCCCACACACTACTGTCTAGAGTGATTATCTTGTCCCAGGTTGCCCAGAACCATCCCAGATTTAGCACTGAGAGGCTCGTGTCCTGGGAAATCCCTTAGTCCCAGACAAACTGAGATGCCTGACCACCTACTGCAGTCTGATTAAAATCTTTCGCCAAACAATGCTTTGATCATGTCATTTTCCTGACTAAAATGATCCTTGCTTCCCATTTCTCATTAAAATAAACCCTAAAGTAGGCCCCAAATCTGCCTCAGAGAATATATTAATATAAGAAACCATATTGGTTCAGGGAAAGGAAGCAAGTATGCTAGGTCTGGCTTTGGTCATAGCCCTGCACAACCTGTGGCAAGTCACTCAATCCAGATGAATCTCAGTTTCCTCATCTGTAAAATTAAAAGACTAAGACAAGATTTTGCTTTCAGTTCCAAAATTTTCTCAGATTATTTTTCTATATGCCCTCTGCTCCAGCCAGACTTACCAGCTCACTCTAATACAAACACAACATATAAATTTTCACTTTAGTACCTTTGATCCTTCCCTTCTCCCCACTCAAAATTCCTTGGCTTTCTTCTCTGCCCACCTGAATCCTTTGAGGAACAACACAAATCGCACCTCCTAAGGGAATCACAGGCCCAGCCCATGAGGGCCTCACATGCACCTAGGTTTTCTAAAACTCAGCACTTAACATGTCCTACCCTTGGTGTTCAAAGTCTTTTTCTGTGTGAAACTTCTTTGATCGAATTGAACTAAAATATTTCTGTACTTTCATGATTCCCTTGCACAATCCTGAACACATCATATATAATAACAAGTATCATTACTAATAACTGATTGGTAGATGAATATATAGGAAAAGGTCCAACCAAGGATCTAGATGTGAGACAAAAGTAGAAATATAGGTGAGTCCAGAATTTTTTTGCACTTTACACAGATTCTCCCATGCTTCCATAATCTAATAATTCACTTATCCCAAAAACGTTTCCTAAGAATCTCCCAGGCTTAAGACACTGTGCTGGCAGTTTACGGGTATGGTGATGGGAAATAAATGTAGGTCCAGATCTCTGACAGCACCTCTGTCTCACAGATATCACAAAGTTCCACATTGTCCCTCAACTCCAACTTTTTAGTAAGACTTAAAAGACTCAAGTGGTGACAGTTTCACCATCAGCACCCCCACACTCCCAAAACCGATCATGTATATACTTCTCCCACTAGTTCATGGAGCTGCTAAATTAAAAATAATAATAATAGCAATTCAAAATAGGTCAAAATATACAAATATCTACCTACATAAGCAAGAGATTAGGCTAAGACAAATCTCTTCCAGGAACTATATTCTGGCCAAATAATAGACTTTCTATTCCCAACTTTGATAGATTTTTTTGTAATGTGACCATACAGATATCCTTTTTCAGTATGAGTTGACTGCTGCCCTCTATTAGTATTGGCAAGTGACATATATTAAGGATGACCTCAGTTAACACTTCTGTCTTTTGGGACCCCCAAAGCATGTACACATAGACACATACACACTCTCTTAATTAAATGGGGCTGAGTCTTGAGCAGTGTCACCTACTCTAATGACAAACAGGTTCATGAGCAAATGGGGGAAGTAAATCAACCAAACGGTTTGCAGAGGGAGAGGTCAAGCAAGGCTGAGCTGGGCTGAACTGGGCTGTGCTGGGCTGGGCCCAGAGTGATTCAGGCTTGGCCACAGAATGGGTGTCTCCTGGGATGGCCTAGTAGGACAATTAAACCCCCTATAAATAGGATGGGTTGTCAGGTCTCCAGTATCCTTTCTGTCTTCCAAGTCTTCAGCGCATCCTCCTCAAGCAGGTAAGACACACATGGGGGAGAAATGGCAGCATTTGTGAGGCTCTTGAGAGCAGCTGTAATGTGCTGGGCTGGGGAGGTTTGAGACTTCTCCCTGTGGGTGACAGCCTTGGGTACCTTTCTACTTCCTTTTCCTGCCTTTATCTAAGAATATGATGATAGCTGGGGTGGCCTATCACTGTGCCTGTAAAATGCATGTGCCATTGTCTCAACGTGTCCTATCTATTCCAGAATTGAGGGCTAGGACTATTGGTGAATAGCTTTGTGTCCCATAGAGGGGCATTTGCTTTCTGTGAAAGTTAGGCAAGACCCAAGAGTTTAGAGCTCATCAGAGCCAAGGCCCTGGACCATGGGGCCCAGAAATACTCAAGTGTCATTGCAATGAATTGTCACAAGGGATTCACCTTGTTCCAGGCAATCTATTATTTGCCACTTATCTTTATAGACATCACTGTATGCTTTTAGTAGTCCAGCGTGCTCTGCAGTTAGGGCTTTGGTTTGGAGGCCTATAAATCCAGTAACTAGAGTTTTCATACCATGAGAAAAAATATAGAGATCCAGATCCCAAAAGACCTAAGCCTCCAGCATGGCCACTATGGACCCAAATGATAACATATACTTCCTATCATCTGTGCAGTTAATTTCGCTGTGTATTCACTTGCTATTTTTGTCCTCAAGAGCTTTTGTATTCATTGTTTTCATTTTATAAGCATGTCCCAAAACAACCATCCAGACCAGAAGCACTTGTTGGAATTTAGCCTCCCAGAAAGCTTCTTTAAACCATGGAGAAAGACTTTTAGCATTTTTTCTTACTTGAGGAAGCCTCATTAGAAGACTGAAACCTGTTCAGTAGGATCTATTTAATACCTCCTGCAGTGTGCTAGTTGTTGGTGGAAAATTATGCCCTACTATGCCAGCTTCTGGCCCTTGCCTCTATGGGCTTTCTGACCTCCCTTACTTTTTGTTCTGAGAGTTTCAATCAAGCAAGTCCCACCTTGAGTAGAGGGTGGGATATGTAAAATGCCTACCATACATTTTTTTGTTTTTTAAGAAATTGCCTCTTTTTCTAGCAGAAGAAACACAATTTGCATCCATCTCCCACTATAACACATGATATTTGGAGCCTGACTCTGAGTCACAGCAAGGGAGGGGTATAGCTAAGGAAGAGCTAAGATGTTTATTTCTTAAGATTCTTTTCCAGACTAACAGCAGCCACTTTTCCCCTGGAAATGCTGTGTCCTGGTCTTTATCCTAAACACAGATAAAGTCTTGTTTCTTCTTTTAGGTTTACCTGTATTTGCCAAAATGCCTCAACTCCTGAACAGCATACTCAATGTGATCGAGGTGTTCCAGAAATATGCCAAAGAGAATGGGGACTGTGCTTCACTGTGCAAGGAAGAGTTGAAACAGCTGCTCTTGGCTGAGTTTGGAGACATCCTCCGGGTAAGATACATACACACTTGGCCTCATAGAGTCAAGCGTGAATGATTCTGACACTAGCATCCAGAGTTTGATGCTTTGTTTTATTTATTCATGCTTCACCCTGTAACAAAAAGAATTTCAGGCAATTCCTTAATAGTTCTCTCCCAGCATACACACATACACACACACACACACACACACACACACACACACACACCCCTCCTTGTATCTGAGTTTGAACAGGATGGACTACAACTTCAAAGTAACAGGAAATAATTTCTCAGAAGAAAACCATAGATTCATATCTGGATTCCCATATTTTAGTGCTGTCCATGTATTCTCATTATTCAATCATTCAATCAATTAGTCAATAAAGAGTCATTGAGCACCTACTCCATGCCAATAGGCACTGGGGACACACACATGAATAAAATCAGCTTCCCCTCTTTCCAGGATCTCACAGTGTGGTGAGAAAAAAGCAGGCAAACAATTAGAATATAGCCTGTGATGAGATGGAATAACTTTCTCGAATGACTCAAATTAATTATTAATGGAGCTCATTTTAAATTAGAGTATCTACTCCCTGTGGTCATGCACCCAGTGGTCCAGCAAGGGATGGGACTCTGAGAACCAGTTGATCAAAGACTAGAACCAAGCCCAAGCCATTCCAGATTAATGGTTTCTCAACCAAGGAATGCCCATGCAGGAGTGAATGGACTGGGGCATGAACACTGATACACATCTTAGTATCCACAGGACAACATCTGATTTTGCTCTTTGTTTTATCTTCTCACAGAGACCAAATGACCCAGAGTCTGTGGAAACCATCATGAGCCTTTTAGACAGAGACAGAAATGGACATGTTGATTTTCATGAGTATCTCTTGTTGGTGTTCCAATTGGTCCAAGCCTGCCATCATAAGCTAGATAATAAACCATGTGGAGATAAAACTTCCCGGCAAGAAAGGGGGCAGGAAAGAACACAAGACCATAAGTTTCCAGGAAACACAGGCAGGCAACACAGGCAGAGGCATGAGGAAGAAAGGCAGGACTCCCACTACAGTCAGTCTGAGAGACAGCATGAGGACTCCCACTCTGGTCAATCTGAGAGACAGGGTCAGGACTCCCACTACAGTCAGTCTGAGAGGCAGGGTCAGGACTCCCGCTATGGTCAGTCTGAGAGGCAGCGTCAGGGCTCCCACTATGGTCAGTCTGAGAGACAGCGTCAGGGCTCCCACTATGGTCAGTCTGAGAGGCAGCGTCAGGACTCCCACTATGGTCAGTCTGAGAGACAGCGTCAGGACTCCCACTATGGTCAGTCTGAGAGGCAGCATCAGGACTCCCACTATGGTCAGTCTGAGAGGCAGCGTCAGGACTCCCGCTATGGTCAGCCTGAGAGACAGCGTCAGGACTCCCACTATGGTCAGTTTGAGAGACAGCGTCAGGACTCCCACTATGGTCAGTCTGAGAGACAAGATGAGGATTACAGCTTTGATCAGTCAGAGAGACAAGGTCAAGATTCCAGCTCTGGTAAAAGACTGAGTCATAAATCTAGCAGTGGCCATCCTAAAAGGCAAGAATATATCTTTGCCTTAAATCAGTGTGAGAAACCAGTTCAGGATTCTTATTATGGTCAGTCTGAAAGGCTTGGGCAACAATCAAGCTGTGGCCAATCTGGAAGACTTGGACAAGACTCTTACCATAGCCAGACAAACCAACAGGAATCAGGCTCTTACTATGGACAGTCTGGGAGGGCGGATCAGGAATCAGGCTGTGCCCAGAAAGACAGGCAAGGACTGGATTCTCACTATGGTCAGACAGACAGACAAGGCCTAAGCTCTCAATATGGTCAGACAGACAGACAAGGCCAGAGCTCTCGAGATGGCCAAACAGACAGACAAGGCCTGAGCTCTCAATACAGTCAGACAGACAGACGAAGTCAGAATTCTTACTATGGTCAGACAGACAGACAAGGCCTGGGCTCTCAGTATGGTCAGACACACAGACAAAACCAGAGTTCCCACTATGGTCAGTCACAGACTGGGAAAACTGAAATACAAAGGCCAAATAGGTATTTCCAAGGGACTGAGGGGACAAGAAGGGACTCATATGTTGAGCAATCAGGAAGATCAGGGAGACTAAGTCAACAGACTCCAGGACAGGAAGTGTACCAAAACCAGCAACAGGGATTCCAGTCTAGGGACATGCAACAGGACAGCCACCAGGTCTGGGAGCCTGAAGAGGATAACCAGCACCACCAACACAAGCTCTTAGCACTAATACAGCAAGAAAAACCACTCTGCCACAAAGGGAGAGATGGGCAATCATGCAGTAGTGAGCAGGGCCACAGACAGGCCCAGACCAGGCATAGCCAGAGCGAGGGGAAGAGCCACAGGGCAGAGGAAGAGCAGAGTCATCAAAGCTGGGGCAGACACAGCCATGGGGGGCTGGAAAGTCCATGGGAGGCACAGGACAGGCAAACCTGGGAAGATGAGCAGAACCGTCAGAGGCAAGACAGGCAAACCCACAAAGATGAGCAGAACCACCAGAGGCGAGACAAGCAAACCTGGGAAGATGAGCAGAACCATCAGAGGCGAGACAGGCAAACCCACGAAGATGAAGACGAGCAGAACCATCAGTGGCGAGACAGGCAAACCCGGGAAGACAAGCAGAACCATCAGAGGCGAGATAGGCAAACCCGGGAAGAGGATCAAAACCATCAGCAACAATGGGATAGGCAAAACTACAAGGAGAAAGAGAAGTATCAAGGGTCCCAGGATCAACAATCCCAAGGCACCCAGCGAGGCTGTCCTAACAAAGAAAAATTCTGCATGAATGAGGATGACCAGAGCCGAGGCTTACAGGGAAGACGCAGGGAGCCAGCCTTCCATCCAACCCAGAGTGGTGGGAGGCCTCAAAGAAGAGAACAAGGTGGAGATCACCCTATCAAAGCAGCTATTGCTCCCAACCCCTTCTATGACTATGTGCAACAGCAGAAATCGCATCAGTACTAGGCTACGTTAGAACCAGAGCAAAAGCCACGAAGCCAAAGAAGAAACCTATGTGTCAAGTTCATCTTTACTTCTGTTTAACAGGTTGAAAACATATGTCTTCCCTCTATCCTCTACTCTTTCTATCTGCAAGGATGTTTTTGAGGACTAGCATTCACTTTATGGCTTTTCAGTTCCATCAGCAGCAATTCTAGTGTTTTTTGGTTGGGTGAAATCTAAGTGGTAAATTGGGTGAAATAATCATATCTTAATGTTAATCAATTTGGGATGTTAAATCATTTCCTAGTTCCATCTGCATGGATATTGAAAGGTAACACTTCTCCCTAAAGTTTAAAAACAAGAAAGACATTCTGAAGATTTACATTACAATTGAGGAGAGGAAACCTGGGCTTTGGTGAGCTTTGGCATCTGTGGATAAAATATCAGGAATTGCAAGCTTCATGGACTAGAATGAAACACAGTGAGAGGCTAGTAGGAGAGCCAGGGACCACAGAGGGCCTCTGATGTCAACAACACCTCCCACGCCCAGGCATCTACCTCTCACCACAGGGACTGTCCACTGAGTGCCTATCACTAGAGCTGACTAGACCTATTCCAACTTCATGCCTGTCTAGTTTCAGATTATATAAATAGAGAGAAAGCATATGTCTTATGTTTGCAGATTCCAAGGAACCAAAATTATTGTCAAATCCATAGCTGCCAAGGCCTGAAAACCCTTTATAAGAAAATTTATGTGCAGATTATGAAATTGTATTAAAATACCCAATAAATGATTGGTGAGCAATGACTTTGATGACTCTTTTCCTTCTTCCCTGTGGGGCCATGCTATCTTCGCTTGGGAGCCATTTTCCAAAAATAAGACCTTGTTTCTTGACTTCTAAAATCACTTTGTTCCCTGAGATCCTGAGCACTGAAAAAAATAAGAATCAATATAAAACAAATAACAAAGAATCGAAATGGAACTTAATATAATTTTCAGCTCTCCTCCCCCCAATTGAGGAGTCACGTTTGACCCTTACCACTCATTTACCACCACATTCAAATGGGCATTAAGTCCTGCCAAGTCTACACCCTCATAACTCTTGAATCTCTTTTCATGTCTCCATATCCACTGCCTTAATTTCCCTTTGCCTCAGTGGCTCCCCGGTGACTCTAGACTGAAGTTCATATTCCTTAGCATGGCATACCGGCTCTTCACTCTCTGACCCAGATAACCTACCCAGCCTAGTCTCATGAGAGGCCCCTCCCAGGAGCATCCAATTCTCCAGCCATGCCAAGGACTTGGCCTTTTCTTAGTACATCGTGGTCTATCATGAATTCATATCCTTGAATATGCTGTCCAATCAGCATGGAATACCTTCCTGCCATTTGCGAGCTGGCAAAAACCTAAGCATCCTTTGGGTCCCAACTAAAACATCATCTCTTCTGAGCAGAGTTCCTGGGCATTCCAGGCACTCCCTTCTTTAAGTTCCTACTCACTTCTGTTATCTCATTTGGCCCATACTCTGTTGTAATTATCTCCCCTACCAAACTGGGAATAAGACCAATCTTACTCAACTTTGCATTGCTCAGCACTGATTGCAGACACTGTTGTCTAGTGATACTTATTAGTTGTTTTGGAATAAGTGGGGAGATGGAGGAAATAATTCTGGTTTGGGAATAAATTCAACTGAACATTTGTTGGGTGTCTACTGTATATAAAACACAGAAACAGATGAGAGAGACTGAATGAACCCCTCATTTAATCAGGGCTCAATGAATGAAAACAGTTATCTTTTTAGGTGTTTTAAACAATAAAGGATTTAATGCCTAGGACGATAAGGGCTGAATTATTAGAAATTAGCAAGCAACCTCTAGAACTATTGAGTTTAATACATCACCAGAGATACAGTCCAGGACTCAGAAACCTGGGATTCAGAAGCTGCTGGCATTACTGCCAAAGTTGTCTGTCAACACTCATGTCTCTATAACCTTGTTTGCCAAAGGAAATAACCCAAATCACAGCACAATGGTCACCATCTCACTCTCACCTTCCAAAAATCATGCAAACACACCTGACTGGAAAAACATTAACTTATACCCAGAACTCTAGCTGCCAAGGAAGTCTAGAAAATGTAGAACGACATAGGAATGCATGCTGAGGGCCATCGTACTGTATTCACTATGAGAAGAATGTAATAACTCATAACAACAGCCCCTTTCTTCAAAGGGATTAAAATATAGTAAGAAAGATACATAAAGCAAACCACCATTATGCCAGGCACAATGTCATAAGTTGAAGAAAATTGCTGTTATGATGCCAAGAAGGGAGTAAATAGCTATACCTGGAAGGATTAAGAAAGGCTTTCATAGAGGGAAAGTGTCTAAGCTAGGACCACAATCCGGGCAGAGAGGAGAATGAGAAAGGCCATGGGTTGTCCTTGGCCTCAAGATCAAGGGGAAGGCCCGTATATTGGCTGCTGCTTAAATGGCATATGTGTTCAGAAGTAAGACGACTCTTCCTCACAAACATTCTCTATAATTTATACTGTCCCCAGAAAAATAAATCTGAAGACAGAGGATAAGGGTGAAAGGACTCAAAATCTGGAAGATGCTCAGGGTTCCTGCAAGCATTCAGTAGGTCATCCACCCTGCTCAAGCCAAAAACCTAGGAGACATTCTCTATTATAATCATTCCCTCTCCCCAAATCAAACTCATCAACAAGTCCTTTTTTGCTATCTCAAAATACAAAACAGCCCAAATCCATGATTCTTGCATTCCAGTCCAAGCCACCACCATCTCTCTCCTGGAATACAGCTTCCTGATGGGGCTCTCTGTCCCTTTCAAAAATGCAAACTACATCATGCCATTCCCTGCTTAAAACCCTCCACACTGAGAATAAAACCCAACATCCTTCCCAGGGCCTTCCTACAGGAAGGGACCCTACCAGACTTCATCTTTCACTATGCTCCTCTGCATTTGCTGTTTTCCAACCACCCTGGCATTCTTTCTACAATTCTAGCAGGACAAGCTGGTTCCCATCCGGAAACCATTGAACCTGCTATTTATTTTACCTGGAATAGTCTTCTCCTTGATCTTTGTGTGGCTGGCTCCTTATTTTATTCAGGTCTCAGGCAAAAAGTCACCTCATGAGATGAGCTTTCTCTGACATTTAATCTAAAACAGTATTCCCCTAATCACTCTCTATCCTCTTTATTGTTGTATTGTTCTCAGCACTTTTCATACTTGGTACTTTGTCTTTACATTATTCGTTCGTCTTTTTCCCCCTACTAGAATGTAAAGCACATAAGAACGGGGATTTTGTTTGTCTTGTTTGCTACCGCATCCTCTGCATCTAGAACAGTAGCTCATCACGAAGCATGTCCAGTAAATGAATGTTGATTGAATGCTCATGGAAGCCTCCACAATCTGGTTTCAGTGTACATTTCCAACCCAGTTTTCCCCAATGCCCCTAGACTTCTTTTTCTTTCTTTTTTTTTTTTTTTTTGCCAATGAGCAAACTAATCTTTAATTTGCTGACCTGGAAAGCTTGCTCTCCATTGTCGGCATGAGCCACAGCTATTTACTCAGAATCATTGTACAATATTTACAGCAAGATGCTAGAAACAGCATCATTCTGGGTAGGCAAAGAAGGGGTAAGAACAGGCTAGAGAACAAAGCTCTGAAGTCAAGTATAAGCAGAAATCTGAAGGTGTAAGTATAGGGAAGGGTAACAGGCAAATCATGAGGGAGGTTGGTGAGGTGGACAAGAGGAAGGAAGAGGAAGCATCAAACAACCTGTGGTGCAGAGATATGAGGAAAGAGTCCACTGGGACATAGAGTCTAAAAATTATGGTTTGGAGTTTGAACGAGGAAAAATCTGCCATAAGCCACCTCTGTGAGAAAAAAGAAGGCAGTTAGAATGTTACAGACAAAAACCTTTTACCTCCTCCACCAAAAAGTAATTCTGTCGATTAAATTCCTGGATAGGGGACTTAGAAAGTAAAAAGGAGAGATGCATAGACACAGACTCTTAAATGGACTTAAGAGACACAAAGTAAAAAGACAAGAGAGTCACAGACAATGAAAGAGTAAAAGAACAACAGCTCCGTCATATCTGGATATTAGAATCATCTTATTGACTTCACGGGTCACCTATCCTCATCTCATCTTTCCCAAAGCTCCTTCCTCCATCCCTAAAGCTCTGAATTTTAGCTTTAACCAAGGAGTAGAATTAGAAGGAAGCTGGCACAAGGGGGACGATCCAAGATTCCATCTCCCCAATTCAGGTCCCCTCCTTTTCCTGAGCCAGAACGTCAGGGCTTCAAACGTAGCCAGGGGCAGATTAGGGTGAGAATAGACAGGATGGAGGACACGAGGCCACAGAGCCCCACAATCCCAGGGCCACAGCGCCAGAGGCCCAGTTTGTCTAGTGGAATGAAGAGATCACAGGCATTTCTGACCACGTCCAGCAGAAGTGGAGGATGACCTCGAAGGACTCGAGCCAGGAGCAGGACTCGGAGCTGAAGCTTCAGAGCCAGTTGGGGCAGACCTCCTCCTGGTGTCCCTGGTCCCCCAAGTCCCCCAGTTTCAATTCCTCCTGGGACTCCACTTCCAGAACCCTTTGGTCGCCGGCTACAAGCTGAAGACTCTTGTTCCATCAGTAGGCGAATCTCACAAGCATCACGGCCCAAATTCATGATGAGGGAGAACAGATAGTATCTGAATGAACGCTGGGCCCCCTTCTCCTGATCCACACGGGGAGCCAGTCCAGACTTTCCAGCCCACAGGACATTGTCACAGGCAAAGTACAAGGCTCAACCAAGGTGACTAGCAGTGATGCAGAGTCTCAAGACAACATCTGAGAGGTGCACAGCTCTTTTGGCTGACTCAAGGGCATCTGCTGAGTTACCCAGGCATAAAAGCTTTCTTCCAAGGCTCAGATGACCCTCCAGTTGTCGAATCTGTTTTGTAACTCAGGACTGGCTCCATGTCTCTGCAGGGCATGGCCAAGTGGAGAGTG